ACCAACCAACTAGAATTTGAACTCGGCTCTCCGATTTCTCATTCCAAGTAGCTATCTTTTGCAAAATATTGTGACGAGATTACATCACTCTGCTTATTGCTTTTATTTAACTGTTTTTGTCTACATTAAAAATGGTGAACTGATAAACGGTAATCAAGTCAAATATTTTCCCCCGAATACTAACATTTAAAAATCGAAAATGTAAACGCTGAGCTTTAATATTAATTTTTTCCTTTGTTTTATTTTTAAAAATAACAGTTTGAGTGAAAATCGGCGACAATATATATCTTATTGAATGTGATTCGCCAGAGGCTTCTGATCTGCCAGCAGTCAGGTTTTGATATAAGGAAATAAATTCAAGGAAGAAATAATGAAGAGGGGTGAGGCTGAAAAAAAAATGAAAGGTTAATTTTGACATACAAACACTCCATTCAAAGCATTTGTAATCACATTCTTTGTGTATTAAGAATAAGTATGAAAAGTTTATGTACGAAGTCAAATAACTGACCTAGCCAGGGTTTATAGGACTGAGTGGCGTTTTATACAGAAGTAAAAGCAAATAATCGGTTGATAATCACGGAACTTAAAATAAATGTCTGCGTAAAGTTCGTTATTTTCATTGAATAATTTTAGATTCTTTGAAAATCAATTCAGGCACAATAATTTAAAAAAAACGTATTTTTAGTTAAATAAAACATCCGTTTTCACCCACAAATATGTTGAAGGTGTCTAACTTAAGAATAAATATACATTTGTTCCTCGACATTTCGTGCAACTGAGTTGTATAGACGTCAGACACAAACTAAAGACTAACCGTAGTACTACATCAGTATTTGAACCTACTGTTTACAGGAGGAGATCATTTACTTAGGAGAAAAATAAATAAGTTGGTAAAAACCTTTCTATTTTAATTCATTTTTTTTTTTTTGGTCATAAATTCTTTTTTACTAATTTATTTATGTTTCTCGTAAGTAAATAAACTGCTCCAGTCTTGACAGTAGGCTATAAATATTGACATATTACAACGGGCAGTGTTAAATTTGTGCCTGATGATTGCCACGTGCATGAAACCCAGAGATGCCCCAAACGACAAGGAAGAAATATATATTTATTCTTAGTATAAATGTTTGCTTCTCTATTTTATATCGATCGCGGTTTTATTGCTAACTGTACTCACTTTGTACTTATATATATATATGATAAAAATATTTTTTTAAGCTATGCTATATGTATGCGTAAATGTGCTCAGTATCAGAGATATAGCCTATGGAAATATAAAAATGGACACTGAGGTTAAAACCGAAAACCGACAGTCTGTTTCAAGGTTGAAGGCAGTCATCAGGCTTGAAGGTTACATTCAGGCTTAAAACAGACTGTTGCCGCTCGATGTTGACCTCAGTGACCACCTGATATATATATATATATATATATATATATATATATATATATATATATATATATATATATATATATATATATATATATATTTCCGACATATTTTATTTTTGTTGCTAAAACTTTTTTAATGGCTACACATATTTGAGTAGATGCTATGTTTTTATTTATATATTAAACAGTATATTAATTTATTTATTTCCATCTAGCGTCCTGAATATTCGAAAAATCTTTGTTACAAAAATATGCGCCCTTTGGTTCGAAATGTGTTTAGGAAATGTGTGTGTGTGTGTGAAATGGATTAAATCCGAATATATTGTTATTTTTAATTTATTTTACTTAATCGTTATTTTTGATGGAAACTCATATTCAAATAGAAGTTCTATTTTTTTATTTTAACTAAACAGTATGTATTATGCAACTACATCTATCGGTCTGAATATTCGAGAAATCTTGACAGAAAAATATGCATCTTCCGGCAGGATTCGAACAAGCATCCCCTATGGGGAACTATCATTGTATCTGATGTGCCTAACCGTTCGGCCACGTAGTACTTCCAGTCAAACAAGTATGTAGTCTAATATGCGTCTCCATCGAAAATAACATTTAAACAAAATAAATTGAACATTATATATATATATATATTTTATATATATATATATATATATATATATATATATATATATAAAAAAGAGACAGAAAAAATAGTATGGATTGCAAATGTGCAATGTGGTTGGCCTTATCATATTACTCAATGCAATTATTGTTGGTAATCGCCTAATTGGTATTTCAAGTTTCATTAGATGTTTGGTTGTCTGCCACCTGCTTACTATCAAGTTAGATGCGTCACTAAAAACCTGAAGTGATGTAGTGATTAAGTCATTTATGAAATGCCACATCACTAATTCAATGGATGGGATCGAAGACGAGTTTCACTTGGATCCTGATATTGGATCCAATGACAAAATGTCTGACACCTTTCAAAGCGATAATGAAAGTAACGAAGATTTTGTAGGTTTTGAACCAAACTAATAAACGTTTTTTTTTATTATTTACACTTATATTTTTTAATTACTTCCGTGATATTATTTTTTTATTTTGATGTTTGCGTTTAGAATAATATATATTAATATTTAAAATATCAGATTGAATTTTTCATCAGTAAAAGTCTTTCAAATGCTACTGTATTTTTTCCTCAGAAAAATAAGACTGCGTCTTATATTCCGAAAAATAGACGTATTTTTTTTAGTATAGAACCTATATATAGATCGGAAATACGGATATATGTTGAAATGGACTGTCGAAAGAAACAATCTGTATCTTTTAACACTTAGTTTCGACATGCAGTTGTGATCCACAACGTTGGATAAGAAATCGCTAAATAAATTTGATTGAATTAATTCACTTTCATTTTCTTCTTTTCGTTCATGCCCTCGGTGGGTAAGACAGAATTTTTTACTTTCGTCATATCAAAGAAACAGAAGAGAAAATTCAATTTATATATTAGACCCAGGCGGTATTCAATTAGTAACTTTCCTAGTTGAAGAGAACGCCATTTCAATTTAAATATCATCTACATGATAATGAATATACTTTGTATAAAACAATGCTCAAGCTACCATTTTGGTTTCCTCCTGGCTAATGGTCATCTTGAAGAATAGGTTTAAATTATCTTAAATGGACGCACATAAACTTTTGTCTTATATTGAATTTAAAAAAAAATTACTCTCCCGTGACTAATAAATCGACATTTTGGGTGTTTTTTTGTTTCGATTTTTTTTTTTTTTTACCAACTCCAGATTCCTGCAACTGAACCTTTCTTTTTTTATATTTCACGTTGACCCACTCACAATTTATGGATCCAAACACCCGCGGTATCAAATTCTTTTTACCCTCCCAAAAATAAGTACAGTGCAACCCGGATATAAGCGAGTTGTCGGGACCGGAGAATAAGTCTCTTATATCCGGGTTTGGTCTATTTTGTTTAGGTATGTATGGCTCTAATTTGAGACCAGAGAAAATCTCTCTTATATCCAGGTTACTCTTATATCCGAGTCTCTTATATCCGAGTTACACTGTATTCAGAAGTTATTTCCACCCGACTAGTTATTCCCCACCGACCGATGTAATAGACACGGGAGAGTGGTGTATTTAACGCCATATACTGCGCATCTCCCATAAAACACCCTGGTCATGGCTTAAGATATTAACCCCCAAACCCCGATTCCCTATAATGGTCACAAGAGAACCACAAATGAAAACATACCATGAGCGTTATATGGCGTAAAATACAGTATTATAACACACGACATTCATTCATCAGATTCTTTCACTTGTGACATCTAAATGTAATGATATGAACAAATGTCCTGGAAATCAAAAAGTTTTGCCTTCTACGGTGTTGTGTCAAGTGTCTTTTAGAAGGGTAATTCAGATGTCACGTATACCACGCGCACGTTTTTATCACAATTTAAAAAGACGAGGTCTGATGGAAAATGGGGTTTTGTCAGTTTAAAGTCATTTGTTGTGCTCTTTTTTTTTCCTTTTTTAATCGAAATTGGTCCGATTAACCATTCTCAAAAAAAAAAAAAAACAGTTATGAAGAGATCAATGGTCAGTTGATAATTCAGTTCATTGTATCTCATATAGAACGTTGATTACTTTTCAAACATAAAAGTATTTTTAAACCATTGGAAGAATAGAGATCAGTTGATTTGATAATATTTTATAATAAAATATGCAATGGCAATGTTCTCTTTCTTTTTGGCATTAAATTTTGGTCCACATTTGTTCCTTCTATATTTTTAGAGACTGATTTGTTTAACACACACACACACAAAAAAAAAAAAAAACAGAAAAAAAAATTCCGAACGTCATTTTTGTTGAAGTAGAATATTCTGCATTGATTTCAGATCGAAGTGATTCGTTTTGATTTGAGATAAATTTACTGGGGGAAAGTGTTCCTTGACAGCTTCTGCATTTTTTTTTTTTAATTTCTCAGATTTAGCGGGATTCATCGTCTCTCTTCTTTTTTTTTTTTTCAAAATTACATAAAGATGAGGAACACTAAGAATTTGGATGTCATTTTCTTCCTCGTCCCGGCTCAAGCCAAGATAACAATCCCGCGGAAAAAAAAGTCGAAATTTATGGGCGTAAAAGCAACCGCTGAAGCCCCAGGAAATACGGAAATGTACATTCATTCGTCTGTATTGTATTTTTATCCTTCCTGTTTAGGACAAAAAATTAAATTTCTCCTCTCGACTATGTCTGAGGTTAAATGGTTTCGTGATTTTTTTTTTTTTTTTAAAAACCAATTCCTCTTATTTATTTTATTTTATTTATTTTTTTTAGTCGAGATCTTTTTTTTTTCCATTCCTTCAAAGAATTGACGCCATTCTTTGCAGAAGAAAAAAAAAATCAACCAAAATGGGGAGCCTACATTTTTGTCCTCGTTCAGTCGTAAGAACATTCCAGAGTTCCTGTCTGTTGAACTTGGTGAAGCAAGGTTTTCCACTGGCTCAGGTAAGGGGCACACGTCAGATGTAGTCGGTCAAAACGTTCTCGACCCATAAAAAGAAAGATTCCAGAACCCCGGCTGATTTCACATTCTACAGGGACGTGGACCATGCCTAGTAAAGGACCTTTCCGTCGGCGCCGATAGAATATATCACTTTTGGCGTAGACTTGTCGAGATATGTGGATTTCCATAATTGTTGTCTTTGTCTCGGCGTTGTTTTTCACTTTACCCATGACACCTTCGACAACTGAAATAGAAAAGAATATTAAACTGTTTATCATCATCATTATCATCATCACATTTATAGCATTACGTATTATTTTAATATTTTTGGATCACTCGGCTTACGGACATTATCACGTTGAAACACCGGTTCTTGTACGATTCACCGAAGATAAGCAACGTCGCATCTGGTCAGTACCTAGATGGGTGACCGCTTGGGGATACCAGCTTGGATATGCAGGTAGGATACTGGATAATGTTTCGGAATTGGAAATCGGGGAGTCGAGTTCCAAATTGGGTCCGTTATATTTACTTACACACATATACTATTCGGAAAAGTATGAATCCACCTCTTCCCCCCAGCTATGGGTTAATTAGTAGAACTTGTATCAGTAATACATTATATCCCAAAAAAATTATTATTCTAAAAATGCTTTGTGGCTTTAAATAACCGAAAAAGGGGTTGATTAAGTCATAAAACATCTAATCAATCTTTCTATGCTGCAGACATCAGGGTATTACTCCCAATATTACCTTTTTAATAATATTTATCTTGCTGACGAACTAATGAAAAATATAAGCTATTCCATAATCTCTTTGTTTTTCCCACTGATTTTAAAGTATGATCGTTCTTCTTTGTGTTGTGTTCCTTCAAGACGTGGAAGATCATGGCTCTCCACAACATTCAATTCTTTGTAGCTCTTAGTAAGGTCTGTTATTTCATCCCCCCCACCAATTGCTTGCTCTACGACCTATTGCCACGATCTTCTTAGGTATTTTGCTCAGTTTTCCTCTTGCCTTCAATATACCCTGTGAGTGTCAAATTCTCCAAGCCCTTTTTTCTCAATGTGTCATAAAAATTAAATCTGTTTCTTTCTTATTCTAATTATAAGTGTCATTTTTACACCCTTGTGCAAATTAATTGAAACAACCGCTTTCGTTTCCTTTCTTTCACCGTACGGTCAGTTTTAGACCCACTGGAGTGACAGGATGTAATCGATTTCTATTTTTTCTCAGATTAGGTCATTTGAAGTAGTATGGAGTAACATGAATTTCTTTTAGGGGTGTATGATGAAGTTTGTCTGGCCTTGATAAATATTGCGTCATCTGTGATTGCATCAGATTTTCCCCACGCCCAGACACTCGACTGTCGATTAGTTGTCATTCGGCCATTGTCTGCGATGGACGTTACTCTAAAGAAGTGTGCGATAATTGTAACACTGCACGAAAACACTGACAAGCCTTACCAGTGAGAAGATCAAAGTACGATAGACTAGTCCGGCAACTCTCATAATTTAAATCCAGTCGAGAATCTGTGATCAATCTGCAAGGAACGACTTCGTGGGATGGACATACGAAGCAGTAACAAGTAAATAAAAACGGAATTATTTGTTTTGTTTCAATTAATTTGGGTGTGCGCAGGGATGTATTTCCATTTTCCTTAAAATGTCCTCGTTATTCAAATGTTTAGTCCATTCACATGGTATTCTCAGCATCCTTCGGTAGAATCACATTTCTATCGACCCCAAAGTATTTTCTTCATCTGTAAGGATAGTAGCCCAGCATCACTGCCATATTGGAGGACTGATATTGCATAACATTTCAGCACTCATTTCTTCGATTCTAATAAAAACTTCCTATTTTTACTTAATATCATTTTGGTTGGTTGTCAAGAAATGGGGCAGTATGAAATCAACCTTAAAATCAAAGATGGCTGGCAAAGTAGTCTTTAGCCAGAATTAGGCATGATATATCAACGTAGACGGCCACATCTCCTTGGGGTCGTTGTGAGAGGCACTGATTTTTACAGGATAGTCTAACCTTTTTAACCCAGATTAGGAATTTAAAATACGTATTTGCTTATCTTTTTGACTATATATTTATAATTCAGGCATATTTTAAATATTTATCTGCAACTTTAATACTATGTAAAATCCGACAAGTCGTTTAGTTATGGTCTGACCCGATGACCTCCAAAGTTTATTTTCAGTGAGTGGAGCTGTGAAAATGTAGCAAAAGTAAACACGTAATATTAACACGACTACATTAACTCTGGCTCTAAAAACCAGTGAACATTTAATATAGGGAGTGCCAGCCCACGCAAATATCTGACAAAGTTTCATTGGGTAAGGAAAGGTTAAGAAACACTGGTTATATAAAATAATGAGACCTTACCGGCAATCTAGTACTGCGCTTAAATTAATAAATTCTAGGTGCCATAGAAGAAAGTTCATCAGAACTATTACTATGAAAGCATTTATAAAAAAAAAAAAAAAAAAAAGGCTATATGACAGCGGTGAGAATGTATTTGAAACCGTGATGGCAGGTTAGGACCAATGGCATTGCCGATTCTACGTTGGATTTTATCAAGGATCTCTAAATATATAGCAGAAACATCAGACCATATCTGGCAGACATATTCAAAGCATGAACGAATGGTAGACTTATAAATCGCCCTGAAATGCTTAACCATCAAAGAACGCTCTATTCTTTTGTCCCCATGCCATATAAATGGGACCACTCGTATTCGATGATGCCCGTCTATTAGTGCGCCTAACCAATCCTTATTGCAGACGCTTACTCGGGTGCATTAGTGGTTATTCAACACAAACAGAGCCCAACTGTATTTTATACTGCAACTATGCCGATCAGGCCTTACAGTTTCTGGGAGAGAGCGTATTATCTATGATCAATAATCTGAACAACATCGGCACACTCAAACCCTCGATCACGATGACTTGTGACTTCGGGCTAGCACAGCTAGCGACAGCACCCACGAGTTCCGTCTACCCATTTTCACTCACAAGGCTTGGGTCAACCCATGGTATGGTTTTCAGGGACTTTCCAAAGGTGCCGCACGCTGGGATCGATTCCTCCAGTCCGATAACATCAGGAAGTCTCCTTCCAGACAAATCGACCGTGGTGAGTTTCGAACCCGGGACATCAAAAAATATAAATATCGGTTGGTGGAAGGTCAGGTAAATATGGCGGCCTGGGTAGAACAGACCAACTGAGTTTCAAAATTTTATTTCCTGTGTTATTCTTGCTTCATGCGGCCTTGATTGGAGGAGAATAATGTTTTTCCTTTCATCCACTGTGTACGCCACCTCTGCTGTGAAAAAGTATGTTAGTATACACCAAATTTATTATTAACTGCCACCGGTGGTTAGTAGTTAGGATGATACATTGGTCATTACAATCGGTTTCAATTAAAAGACAGTTATTTATGACTCAAAATAATATGTCGAATATATACTTACTAAAACTACTCGAGCAGTATGCGCGCAATAGTTCATCATCCGAACACGGTCGGCAATCTGTAAAGAGGAAAATAAATTTAAAACAGGAATAAAATAGGGAAAGAAAAAAAGAAAGAAAAATAAATAAAAAGAAAAAGAAAGACGAAAGGAAAAGAACGAAAGAAGAAAGTAACAAAAAAGAAAAAGAAAGAAAAGTTCATTGTCCGAACAGAGTCGGCAATCTGTAAAGAGGAAAAGATGTGAATCAAAGAAAGAAAGAAAGAAAGAAAGAAAGAAAGAAAGAAAGAAAAGAAAGAAAAATTTTGAAAAAGAAAGATTAAAGAAAGAAAATAAAAAGAAAAAAGATAAGAAAGAGAAGAAAAAAAACAGAAAGAAAAGAAAAAAGAAGAAAGTAAAAGAAAAACAAAATAAAAAACAAAAGCAGAAAGAAACAAAAAAGAAAAAAAGAAAAGAAAAGAAAAGATCATTGTCCGAACAGGGTCGGCAGTCTGTAAAGAGGAAAATAAATTTAAGATGTGAATCAAATAAAGAAAAAAGGAGAATGTAAAAGAAAAACAAAATAAAAAACGAAAGGAGAAAGAAATAAAAAAAGAAAAAAGAAATTAAAAAGAAATAAAGAAAAAAGAAAGAAAAGGAAAAATAAGTAAGATTAGAATCATTGATGGAGGTGGCTATTTCGTGTCTGAAGCTTTTAATCCCATTTTTGCGCGGTTTAAATCGGATATCAAATGTTGCTTAACAAGAACGCACTCAAGTGTTTTCATAAAAAGAAAATCAAAATTTAAACATTCGCTGGAAATTTCCTGGTTTAAGGAAGTAGATGGTGCTGTTACTAATATTAACACCAGACTTGAATCCTCATTACTTAACATTTTATGCCACTGGAATATTTAATCAATTACTCGGGCTAACATTCTCGGCTGACACGAAGTAGACAGACTATATTGAATCCATTGCTAGGTCAGCTGCTAAGACAGTTGGTTCCCTGTGTCATGCTAGACAATTTTTCACTCCAGAATCTATCCTACATATCTATACGTCTACCATTCGCTCATGATTAGAATATTGCTGCCACATATGGTCAGGTGCTCCTGCTATTTATCTAGAGCTCCTTGATAAAATTCAAGGAAAAATCAGTAATATTATTGGCTCTGTTCTAGCGTCTCAGTCACTTTTCCCACCGCCGTAATGTTGCCTTCCTGTGCCTTTTCTATAAATACTTTCATTGTAATTGTTTCGATCAGCTCTTTCAGTATGGTACCAAGAGTTTTTGAATTTAAATGCAGTACTAGACTGGCGTCAATTTACAGTTTAGTTGGCTAGATATAAGTTCTAAACAAACCGTTTCTTTTCTCATACATCTCGCTTGTGGACCTTCCTTCTGGCTCCATGATTTCCAACCAATTTTAATCTTCAAAATTTTAAATGCAGTGTCGATCGCTTTATACGGTCCTCCTGATTATTCTTTTTCTTTCTCGCTTATCATTAATATTTCTCTAATTCTTTCACACCTAGTAACTTCTTGCGTCTTATTTGCTTTATTGCCTTGTTTGCGTTGAACTTGATTAAAAAAGAAATGAAGACATGATTCCGGCCCTCAATAATTTGGCGTTTGTTTCAATTAGGTTCTCTGGTCGAACTTAGTATTCCCCCTGTAGGTGGCGCAAAGGGTCGTCTTCAATTCTTCTTCTGACTTCATCAGGGCTACTGTCTAGCCCTAATCAGGATCCTACTTATAAGTTTTCCAATCCCTCCTTAAGGCACGGTGGAGTAATGGATAGCGGCCCGGATTGAAGAATCGGAGAGCAGAGTTCGAATTCCAGTCGAATCCATTATATTCACTTACGTGCTAATAACCTTGGGAATGGTATTAATTCTCTGCTTCTCCCCCCAGCTATGGGTAAATAGCAGGACAGATCGCAAATGGTCTACCGCAGAAAGAAATGGCAACCTACTGCTGGAAGTCATGTATCGAAAGATACATGATCGCCTAAGCGTGTATCACTCATGGCACATAACTGACTGAAGCTCTTCTTTCTCATTATATGTCTAAGGGATTTCAACTGTCTTTTCCTGATTCTGAGTATAAGTGTTCTTTCTGTTGCCTTTTTTTTTAAAGACTTCCTTGTTGCTTATTCACTCCATCTATGGAATTTTCAGTATCCTTCTGTAGAACCACATCTCTACTGCCTCTGTTTTTTCCCTCTTCTGTGGAGAGATTGTCACTGCCATATAAGACGATGGATATTACATAGCAATCAGCACCAATATTCAAAACAGCTTGTCTCGCTGTTTAAAAACAATAACTTATTTTATTAAATTTAATATTTTTCTTTTTCATTGTTTATTAAAAAACTGAGAATTTTTTATATTCTAAAGATGCACATTGTTAAAAAAAAAAAAACACAACTTGTTTAAAGTAAATGATTATTAATTCCTTCTAAAATCTACTTCAACTCTATACTTTTAACGGCTCCGCCTAAAACTGAACATTTATCTGCATTTTTTCCATCAATAGGAGTAGATAGGTTCGCCTATCGTCCGGTTTAGACTCCACCCGGGTCTTTTGAACAGGAGTAGAGGTTTATCCTTTCTTTCCTGTTTAGGATTTTGGATGTCCGATTCCTCCTAAAGTATTTTCCTCTTGTGTTTTGGTAGCATTATCATCTTCCTTGGAGTGGTGTCTCTTACTTTGTAACCCTCTACCTGGAGTGGCTCTTGGGCCTTTGTAAAAGATGAACATCATTGTAAAAAGAATGTTGTAAACTCGTAGTTTAAAATAGTGTTTATTCATTTTTACTATCAGAATGTTATTTAAAGCCTGTTTTGCAATATGAAAAGTTTCGAACAATAGTCCGTCATTTTTTATGCGTGTATGTGTTTTTTGTTTCCTTTTTTAATAATAGGAATTGCAAAATGGATTGTACAAATGTACAGCCAGTTTGTGGATCAAATAAAATAGAGAAAAGAAAAATGGAAGTTGTCCTCTTGAAAGCTATCCAACGTCTAAAACTTTTACAGTGTTTTTCTATCCTAATTTTATTAGCAACTTTTATTTAACTACTTATCTAGAATAAGTAAAATGAAAAATAATACGAATAAATAGGGCGGTGTAAGAACTTAAGAACAGCAAGCGACTTGGTTTCGGCCATACAAGCATAGTATGAATAAAATAGTTTAACTTTAACATTTAAATAGACCATCCTTATCCAAGAAGGTCAGGCGACTTTGGAGAGAAAGAAGAGAAAGGAAGCCATACAAAAATAGTGGATGTCACTCTCCTGGTGGATCACAGAGTGAGACTGATAAAGAATAAGAAGTGAGAAAACATCAAGTGATTTTTTTTTTTTTTACGAGGACGATGCAGGTTTAAGATTTCAGGAAGATTTGAAACGATACAGACAACGCCACTGCTAGAATCTAGAAGAATATGAAGGAGGGCGCTGAGGATTTCAAGAGATTTGCTGCCAGCATATCTCCGGCGACAAGAGCAGAAGGAGATGACAAAAGACAAAAGAAATGATAAAGCTAACAAGTGAATATATAACAACAAGGGAGAGAGAGACCGTGAGAAAAAGAAAGAAAGAAAGAAAGAAAGAAAGGTGCAGCGAAATAAAGAAAGAATGCTAGAGAAGAGAGAAAGCGTGAGAAAGACGAAAAGAGAGATAGGGGAGAGAGAGAAAGAATATAGCGAACAAGAGAGAGAAAAAAATCATGAGAAAGGGGAAAATAGTGAGAGAGGGGGAGAAAAAAACTATGAAAAAGAAGAAAAGCTAGAAAGATAGGGTGAAAAACAGCAAAAATGTGAGAGAAAAGAGCGAGAGAGAGAAATAAAAGTCATGAGAATGAAGAAAAGAGAGACTGAAAAATTAAGTGAGGCAGATAGAGAAAAATCGTGAGAAAGAAGAGAGAGTGTAAGAGAGAGAGAGAGAGAAAAAGATTTAATGGAAGAGAAAAGAAAAAGTTGTAGGAAACAGAGTGAAAAAAGCCTGATATAAAGAAAGAAAGAAAGAAAGAAAAAAGCAGAGGCTAAAATCATAGAGGAACACCTAGAAGAAGAAAGAGTTGAAGATGGAGATCAAGAAGAAGGGTGAAAAACAGAAAGAGAAGAAAAAAAGAAGATGAAGAAGAAAGAAATGAAGGAGGAGGAGGTGATGAAGAAGAAAGAAAAGAAGAAAGCTGAAAGTTGAAGAAGACGGAAAAGCAATGAGAAGATGAAGAAAAAGTAGTTGAAGAAGAAGAAGAAGAAGAAGAAGAAGAAAGGCAAAAGAAAATGGTAAGAAAGGAAGTAAGAAAGCGAGAACGGCAAGTAGCACAGCTGGGAATAATTTACTCATTTCTAAATGCCGGGAGAAACCATGCGCTGTTACAAACAGATATCACTCGAAGAGGGCTTTGCACAGACGGCCAGAGTGTGGGAAAGTTTGAAATTTTCTGCACACTCCCTCATACATACACGCTTTTCGGCAATGCCCCACCCTTCCTCACGCTGTTTCAGACACGGGGCCCGTTCTTGTTTATACGTTTCATACACTTATTTATACATCATTTAACTGCGCTCACACACACACACACACACACAAACACACACACACATATGGACGCACAAAATGCCCATATTTTTCTTTAAAATGTATATATCCGTGTCACAAACTTTAAACAATTTCCTTATCGGTATTTATTAAGCTTAGGCTAATCTGACACGAGGTCAAAAGTGTGGAGAAGCCTGTAAGAATCGAAACCTGTATTTACTAAGATTAACTCAATACGGTACAAAGCTATATGCAGGGCGCGATGGATAAACTGTCGTATAAATTACGCAAAAAAAAAAAAAAAAAGAAAAAAGAAAAAAGAACACTGACATCTCATTTTAAAAGATATATTTACCAAAATTGCACAAAAATATCTTGAAATACTAAAGAGTAAATTTATTCAATAAAATCGTCATTCGATTCAACTACCACCCCTAGGCGACTTTGGAATCTCCTGCAACTTTTCTGGGTGGTCTCCTTGTTTAAGTTGGCGAATGTTGCCATAATCCTTGTCTTCAGTTCATCTTTGGTGTTACAAAGAGTTTTGTTGGTCTCTCGCTCAGCTGCGCCCCACACATAATAATCAAAGGGGTGTAGTCTGGGGTGTTAAGTGGCCAGATGTAAGGGGTGATTTGGTCGTAGAAATTGTCTGACAGTCATGACTGGGTTCTCCTGCATGTGCGGCATGGTGCAGAGTCCTGTTGCCAGACACAGAGTCTCCAGAAGTCACGCTCTTGATCCAGGTCAAAACGACCTTCTCAAGTCCCTTGATGTAGGCCTCTGAGTTAGCTCTGAGGCCTTCGTCATGAAATTCGGTACTTTTTTTTTCTTATCAGAACGATCAAAGTGAGTTTTCCGAGCTGCCGTACTCTCGTAATAACCATTAAATTCATCCAACTCTTTTCGAGTTCTCTGCACTGTTGTCAGATTGATACCGAAACACTCTGAAATGTTCGTATTGGATTTTCTGGTGCGAATACCAAGCAGTTACAAATTTCTGACGTAGTGAATTGCGTCACAATGCTCTCTTTCTCACAGATGGTGCCCAACTGACCCTACTATGCTGTGCTGTCGACAAAATCAAAAACAAAAAACGCTAATGCGCGAAATTAACAATATAAAATGGCGACAATTTACCCATCGCACCCTGTATGTGTGTGTGTGTGTGTATATATATATATATATATATATATATATATATATATATATATATATTTGTTCATGTCTTCCCCAAGTAAGGCAATAAAGCCACTAAGACGCAGTGGGTTACTGAGCGTGAAAGAATATCAGAATAAAATATGCATTATTAAGGAGCAAGAACAATAAAAAGAAAATAACAGAATTTAAGTAGACAGAAGATATCGATTGATACTTGACTTGAAAGCAAGAACCAGCAAGGTGGTTACTGGGTATTAGAGAATATGAGCAACAACAAAAAATTATTAAGGCGAGAGAACAATAAAAGAAAAGAGATAGAAGATAATGATTGACATTGCATTTAAATTTCTGAAGAGAATTCCACAAGTGAGAAGTGCGAGTAATGAAACTATTAGCATAAAACTTACGGGTACATCTAACCATTTCAACGGTAAAATAATAGGACCTTGCCGCCAATCCAGTACTGCGCTCAAGTTCATAAAGTCTAGGTACCATAGAGGAAAGTAATATTTATTTTGAGAATACACAATGTAGTATAAGGGAAAAAAAGTGAGGATATGAGAAGGCTGGTCTTCAATGTGTCTTATCTTAAACATAGCTAGCCACAGTTTCTGGCCCAAACATATCCCATTATTCCTTACACGAAAACACATTCTTATTAACTACTGTCACTAAAGCCACACCATAATGCCCCAAAGTTTCCATGGAGTGTTTTATTCTAACGTAGCCACTGATGGATGGTATTGCGTCTCTTATAAAAGAACCACATCTTTTTTTTCACTCCAAGCAATAATACTAAGATGCAAAGGCGTCACTGATTGTTAGAGAATATGAGCAACAACAAAAAACTATTTAGGTGAGAGAACAATAAAAGAAAAGAGATAGAAGATAATGATTGACATTGCATCTAAATTTTTGAAGTTCAATGTTAGCTGGGAAGCAAGAATCTTGAAGAGAGTTCCATAAGTGAGAAGTGCGAAAGAAGAAGCTATTAGTATAGAATTTACGGTTACATGTAGCCATTTCAACTGTAAAATAATGAGACCTTGCCACCAATCTAGTACCACGCTTAAATTCTAGTTACCATAGAGAAACGTAATATTTAATTTGACAATATGCAATGTGGTACAAGGCCATAAGGGGAGGATAAGAGAAGGCTGGTCTTCAATGTTTCTTATCTTAAACTTAGCTACCCACAGTTACTGACCCAAACATATCCCATTATTCCTTACATCGAAACAACACTTCCTTTCTTACCATTCTTACTACAGCCATAAAATGATTTTCTGAGCGCAGCTTAGATGTGGCACAAGGACGTAAGTGGGGGTACCCAGTAAAGACCGAACTCACTACTCAATCTCAATTGATCTAGCGAGGCAAGCTTGCTAACAATTAAGCCACATCGAGATGCCTAGAAGAAAGTTTATCAGTTTACCATTAGCAAAAATACCACGAGGAAAGATGTCAATCCATCTCTTCTAACTGCGAATTAAATAGTATGGATTGGGCTCCCTTGTCTTGAGATGGCAACCAGCCTAAGAGAATGAAAAATAGATCTAGCTTGAAGCTAGTTTGGATTCAGTTTGTGTGGAAGCAGTGGTGTGTCTAGTTGCCCTATACACGCCACTGCTTCCTCATGTTTCATAAAATTGTTCAATCAATATAAGGCTCAAGAGCCACTCAAACTAGAGAGATACTGAAGGGGTGCGTAAAAAGAGGAAGTAAAAAGAGCATATTATGTGGATATGTACGATAGATAACGGTTGATGCCAAACTTGAAATGGTTAAGATCGTAGTAATTGGAAAAGCATCATCTGGGGAGCGTGTACCACAAAGTAACAGTTCTGGTGAAGAAGCTATCGGAGTATAACTTCCTCCTTATCAATGGAATACGAAGGGAATGGGGATAAATCAATCATTTGTAGATGAATCAACAGGTCCTAGCTGTAAGCGTCTGAACTGGTGGAACAAAGGAATCAGACCGTCTGATCATTTGCCATGAAAATAGCGACAGAACAGCGAGACTGTTGTCCTCATTTTCGTTGCCATATTGACGACGTTTCGGCCGTTGTACGCTCCAGCCTTCTTCAGATGATTGGAATTTCGAATCGAACCCTTTATTTCGTCCGCCGGGGTAGATAGTTCTAGTTCCACGCGACATGCCTCTTCCGGATTTCTCAGCATAAGTTATCTCCATTCAACTTAACTCTCCATATTTTTATTCACCTCTGCTGTAGCTAGGTAATGAACACCATTCTTTGAATCAAGTCACTGGATTAAACCAACGCTTTTATTCTCAAGGCCAAATGGATAAAAGCGTTGGTTGAATATATATATATATATATATATATATATATATATATTAAAAGACATTTTTATGTTTAACGTTCTTTTTTATAGATACATGTATTTAAGTAAATGCTCTGTTTATAATAAACAGTATTAAATAACATTTACCGGCCTGAATGTCCGAGAAATTTTCATAGCCGGTAAATGTTATTTAATACTGTTTATTATAAACAGAGCATTTACTTAAATACTTGTATCTATAAAAAAGAACGTTAAACATAAAAATGTCTTTAATAAATAAATTGTCGGACTTTGTCCATTTCTTAATGTACATATATATATATATATATATATATATATATATATATATATATCTGAAAGAGATAATTTGTCAAAAACAAGATTATTTGATATGTTTCGCCGACTAACCTGAATTTTCTGTGAAATAACATTATTTCCTGATGACGCCATATCATTGGTGAAATATGTCAAATAAATTTATTTTATTTATTTATTTATTGGCAATCCTTACAGTGATAGAGTAAATTCTTCCTTCAAGTTCTGGCTCGTTGTTTTGTCTTATATATATATATATATATATATATATATATATGCGTTTTATGCATGAAGATAAGTTTCCTTGTTGCATCAATTTGGATTCTGTATTAAAAGTCGCCAGGCTTTAATTATTATTTGTTGTCTGTTTGTAATTAGCTGACTTTTCTTCTATCAGCATTGCTACAATTAATGCAACCTGGCTCCTTTAAAAATTACTTTTCATTAAATACAAGATGGAAATATTAACAACAGTAATCGACAGAAGGAGAGAATATGAGAGAGAGAAAGAGTTAAAGAGAAAAACAAAATAACAAAGAGACAGAAAAAGGAAAAGAGAAAGCGACTGAAATAAAGACAGCATTTAAGAGAGTAAGCACAAAGAATCAAAGCCGAGTAAGAGTGAGAGAAAGAGAAAAAGAAAGAGAGAGGCAAAGTGAGGTGAAGGCACAAGAGTCGGAGAGAGTGTGGGAGGGAGAACAAAGCAGACAATATTAAGGGAAAGAAAGAGAGTGGGTGCGTGTTCCGTCGAAAAAAAAACGGAAGATAAGTGCAAGTTTAGAGAAGGGTAAGTCGAAAAGGAAAGAAACTTATCAAAATGGGGAAAGTAATTGTAAAATTAAACATGAAAATATAAAGAAACAGAGCATTAAGAAAAAACCAAAAAAAAAAAAAAAACCGGTTTGTCCTAAACATTGACGTCACCATAGCAATGAAATATGGTTTATATTTATTGTTAAGACAAGTAGAATTATAAATAATTCAAGGAACTGTCTCATATTCTTAATTACTCTTTTGTTTGTTATTTTCTATTTCCATAGTGACTACTAAAATATCTTATTCGTCTTCTTCTATATGCCGTGTCCCTTCAGAACGTTGGAAATCATGTCTCTCCACAACTTCCTATCCTTTGTAGCTCTTAATAAATTTTGCCTTTCTGTTATCTCTTCTAAACACTGTTCCGCCATCCATTTACACAAATTCACTAGGTAGGTTATGCGTTGTTTTCTTCTATTCTTTTTTGCTTTCAATCCGTCCTGTGTGTATCAAATTTTCAAAGCCCTCTTTCCTCATTATGTGACCTAGATATTTCAAACTCTATCTCTTCCTGGTGTTAAATATAAGTGTTCTTTTTGTTTCGTCTTTGCTCACATGTTTGGTTCATGGTATCCTCAGAATCACGTTTCTGTTACATTAAGACTTTTCTCTTTATCTGTGAAGAGATTGCCCAGCATTTGTGTCATATGGGAAGACCGATATCACGTAACAGTCCATTACTTTTTTCTTTGTTTCTAACGAAATTTTTATTCTATTGCTGGTTTTAAAATCATTTCAAACAGCCAAATTCTTCGTCAATAATCTGTTTATTATGAGACGTAGGTTAGACGTAGTTTGAGATAACTTCAAAAATTCAGTCGTATACAATTTTCATCCCAAAAGATTCCCCAGAATTTAAACATGTAACCCAATATCACTTTTTAAAATGTTCCTTGGTCGTACCGGGAACTTTTCATTCTCTCATATATAAATTCTAAACAAGGCTTATTTCTAAATGCATACACGAAAACAAATTCCTACGACGCTACATGCAACTACATGTAGATGATTATGACTCTCCACAGATTTTTCTTTGTTATCTAAATTGTTATGCATTCTTGAGAAAAACACTGGTGTGGCTCACTATTGTCTTCTCCAGGGTTTCGAAATCAGAGCTTTCCTTTTCTTACACTGGTTGACGTCTAAGATCAGAGAGCACAATCTTCTCTGATATTTAACTTCTTCCTGACTGGTTGTCGGGAAGAAGAGGCTGATTCACGCATTTCCCGAAGTTGAACGCAAAGTGAATACGACAGAATTTGAACCCGGCTCAGTAATTCCATTTTTCCACGCTGAAGCCCGTCATCCTACCCGCACATCCCATATATTAAATAAGTAAATAAATCATATGCAACACGTAAAATAAACAAACTCATGGCTATAAATAATCTAAAAGATTGTTTCTAAATGACAAAAAAACGGGAAAAAATCCCACAAACCCCGAGCGGATTATATATACGGCCCACACAAAGAGGATTACTTTATGTAACATATGTTTGATGATAGCTTAAGGCAGGAGACTCTTAATCATCATGCAGTGTTGATTCCTATGTCCATATATATATATATATATATATATATATATATATGAGAAAGAGAGAGAGTGAGAATGTGTCTATGCGCGTCTAACAGTCTGATCCTGTATTTACCGCCCCGTACATACGGTTGTAGATTGCGACATATGGTCGGTTTCATGTGGGGTGCACATACACGTACATGTAGCCAAAAGACAAACATTAGCAATTGCTGCAACCCCCTCTCACGCAGACCTTGGTGCAATGGCTGGGAGATATGCTGCCGCAGGGTTGGAATCGTTGCCACTAAACTTCGCATTTCTAGACCGTAAACTATATGAAAACAGGAACACGGCAGTGTCTCGCACCACAGTACAAGAAAACGACAAAGAAAGGAGACAGATGCTACACTTTGTTTCTAAGCAGATGGTCGGGGAGCGTTTATTTACTCGCGACAACGTGACAAGATGTCGCAACAGGTGGCTTTTAACGTGGGCTTGCTCGTTCTCTGCGTCCACTGTCACGCAAGCGTTAAATTTCCACAGACCCTCTCTCCTTTAGTGCAATGAGGTAGGTGCTTCTGCAGGTTCAGAATCCTCGGGTTCAGGTATGATCTCAATTGATTAAAAGGAGAACAGATATTTATCCCAGCTAAAAGGACAAGAAGCGACACATTGAGATTAGGTAGATCTTCTAATCTAGCAGAATATTCGAGTTATATGTAATACCATCGTTTTTGACGGGTACTATGAACTTATACATAAAATAAGCCTATTCTATCATTAAATTTGATATTAATTCCGGGCTACTGTCAACCTTTTTTTCTTTACGAGAGACAATATTTATACAGTAAAATTATCTTTTTTTAATAATTTCACCCCAGTCAAGGCGATAATGCCACTAAGATGAAAGGGATTACTGGGAGTAGAAGAAACAGAATACACAAGATTAAAGGAGACAGCGTGCAGAAATAAACGGCGAGAGAGGTAAAGAGGAGGCTAGGCACGTCTAAAAACCAAAAAGAAGAGAGGAATAAAAAAGGAAATAATGAATCATTTCACCCCAAGCAAGGCAATAAATGTCACTAGAATACAAGGGTTTACGGAGAGGGAAAAAGGCAATAAGTGAAAGAGTAGAAACGGTGAGCATATAACTTAGGTTATATCTAGTAATTTTAACTGCAACAGGATGAGACCTGCTTGCCAATCTAGTACTAGGCTTGAAGTCTAGGTACCAAAGATTAAAGTTCATCAGAAGAGTTATCATAAAAAATATTTATAGCAAGGTGATAAAGCCACTAAAAAGCAAGGGATTACCGAGAGTAAAAGAAACTGAGAAAAATGATTATTAAGGAGAGAGGACAATAAAAGAACAAGATTCAAGGAAACAGAAGATAATTGACATTGCATTTAAATTTTTGAAAATCAATGTTGGCTAGAAAACAGGAATCCAGGAAAGAGTTCCGCATGTGAGAAGTGCGGAAGAAAGAACAATTAGCATAGAACTTACGGTTACAACTATCAAGTCTAACAACGAGATTATGAGACCTATCTGCCAATCTAGAACTGCACTTAAAATGCAAAATGTAAAATTGTTCAATTTCGTTCGCGACAAGATCTGATCTATTAGCTTAAATTTTATGATCTACCTGGATTTAAAAATCTAAAGACATTTGATTTTTACGACCCTGGGAATTGCTTCTGGTTTGCCTTATACTATTGCATTGCACAATTCCCAGTCATGTCCATACCTGTGTTATTTCTGAGCTAATTTTCTGCATAGCATTGTTTTGGAAAGACATTATAATAATCATGAACATGTGGTCTAAACAAAACGGTTTGCATACGAACAGAAAATGAATTGAGCAAGCACACAAAAATAGAAAATGGTCATAAGACAAGAACGCCTCTTCTCGCTGGATTTATTTAACCTATTTTTGTGACGTAAGGTGGCCGTTAATAATTAAGTATAACTCAAGACTTCAATGGATAAAACAGTATTTAATTACAACCCCAAATAAATACTTAACATTGGCAAAGAAACAAAAGTCAACCAAAGATAATTAACCAATTCAGTGAATACCTTGTGTAGTAGTGCGGCTCAGCTTAACGCCCGGTAAATCCTAAATCAAAACACAAATCAACGACGAACAATAATTCACACTAATTCGACTGGAGAGTTACACTCAATAATCACTCCAGTCAGTAGCCTGACACCGCCATTTATACACTTGGCGGAAAACATATATTCAATAGTCCAGAGTGTCAGGTGTCGGTAGTTACTCTTTTTCTTCCTATATGACACCTATACAGTGTGGTAATCCTCCCGGACTTTGGGTACGTGAATGAGATGAGAATTGAGTAGGTTTCACTTAGTTGTTGATTTAATTTTCTTACGCATATATATATATATATATATATATATATATATATATATATATATATGTGTGTGTGTGTGTGTGTGTGTATGTATTATATGTCATTATATGCCATATGTAATACCATATTGCAATTCTACGAATTTCAGGTTAGTTCCCTTATATTGGGACGCATGTTTTGCAAAATATTCCATAGCGACAACGGAAAAATTTAAATTTTTTTTAATAATTTCAACAGATCAAGTTGATGCGTGTTTTTTTTTTTTTTTAAATCCCCTTCATAACAAAATGCAGATTTTATGACAGTTACATTACGTTTGTCTTTGTAATTTACACCTGAGGATGATCTTGGTGGAGATCAAAAGTACTTGGGTAGGAAAAAACTACGGTACCTTCCTTGATGAATTTCATCATAACATCAAGGAACTGATTAGCGAACTGGAATAGATCAGTATAAAAATAAATAGATATATGTCCTTACTATTTAATGAAACATGTCTGAATGAAGATGTGCTACGTAAATATATGTGTGTGTGCATATGTAAGTGTGTGTGTGTGTGTGGTGCGTGGGTAACCTGGTATGCTAATTTCTCTCTGTACAAATATATTACTTTCTTTCACGGGTACAGACACCAAAAATTCATCCTTTTCTCTTTTTCCTTAATTTATCTTTCATTCCAGATATGAATTTTTTTTCTTTCATTATTTCCATAATTCAAAAATGGTTCTTTCGTATTCTTTTTTTTTTTTTTTTTTTTTATTCTGAATATTTTTTACAGAATTACATCCGAGCGTGGTATTTAAATTCTCGCTACGTCTTATCAAACAGCTATCAACCGTCATGATCGGATATTTACCTTGAACGTAGTGTCTTTTATTTTCTTTTTGTAACTGCCTAATAAATAAATAGAACTATATTCAACCTATGACTCACCAAACATTTCTATCCAGCACAAAAGGAATAAACGCCACATACTTTCTTTTTAAGTCATCAACTCAAATCGACTAGTCACGTCTGGGTTACTACGATACCTTTGTCCTCAAGCCTCAGTGAGTTTCTTTAACGGTTTAATTGTATTGGCATTTATATATATATATATATATATATATATATATATATATATATATATATATATATATATATGTATTGACATTTTATATATATATATATATATAGAGATATAGAGAGTTTGTCTGACGATCGCTAAAGGGTGAAACCCAGGGTCACAAACTCACATCTATTCAACCAAATATGTTAGCTCTATCTCTGATATTGAGTGCTTTCTAATAAGTACTGCGTATATAATATATAAATAATTATACATACTTATATTTATTTATATTTATATACACACACACACACACATATATATATATATATATATATATATATATATATATATATATATATGTGTGTGTGTGTGTGTGTGTGTGTGTGTGTGTGTGTGTGTGTCTCCTGGGTTGATGCGTGTTCAAATAAAAGCTGGCATTTTAAATGCTGCTTTTAAAGCCTGGTTGTCCTTCATGATACAACAATTCTTTCTACACAGATTCTCTTCGTTCGGCCTTGTGCCCAATGCAAGCAAGACTTAGTAAAGTACTAAGGGTAACACCTTAGTAAGGTGTTACCCTTAGAGTCCGGTGAATTTAAGACACAACACAGGCTCTTCAATTTAAAAACAAAAATTTAAAAAAATTAACGCTGCACGAACACACTGGCAAGCCTTACCAGAGAGCAAATAATAGTACTATAGACTGGCCCGGAAATTCTCCTGATTTAAATCCAATCGAGAATCTGTGGTCAATCTGCAAAGAATGACTTTGTGGAATGTACATACGAAGTACTAACATGGGCACTGGGTCGTGTTTAATTGGAAAAATACAACAAAAAAAAAAATAACGGAACTATTCGTTTTATATCAGTTAGCACAAAGCGAGGGTGTACATATACGCGTAGATAATGCACACTCGTATTTGTGTGCAAGAAAGAGAGAAAAAAAAAACAGAGAGACTTTATTTTAGGAATAGGGTGCTGAAACATTTTCAGCTCGACCAAAAAGTCTTTCCGAGATAAATTATGATATTTCGTTAGATTTTGGGAAGTGGTTTGCGCCAAAGATTTTACACCACACCCACCCGTCGTATAAAGTAAGTCAATACTTATGATTTCTTTGCGAAGACGCAAATTGCATTTAATATTTTATAAGCTGGGGTTAGTTTCTCACAAGGCCACGTTGACACAGAAGAAAAACTTTTGTGCGGCGTCCATTTTTCAAGGTTCAATAAAAATGTGCCTTCACGATAATATCCCGCATCGGCAAAACAGTTTGTATACTTTCACAAACACTTACTTGAACAGAAAAGGGATTTTTATCCATCTATAGTCTCCTGTTGTCAATTTTAAACATGGTATTACCAAACTGGACCATTTCGGCAACTGATAATCAACGGGACTATCCAGGTGTCGATAAATGCCTGAGGTTCAACAGGGAGTAGGAACATAAATAGTCTTGGTTTTCAGCTCGCCAATTTCCAACCAAATATCACTGCTCTTGCTTTTGCATATCAAACACATTCTTTCAATTAATGATATCAACCAATTCAATAAAATGTATATTCATTTATTTTTCACACTAAGCAAGGCGATAATGCCACTAAGACGAAGGGGCTACTGGGAATGTAAGAAAACTAAAAGATTTTAGAAGAAACCGGAAACCCAATCCCAAACAGGAAACAAGGGATAAACTTCTACGGTTTAAAAAACCGGGAAGGAGTGTGAAATCAAGAAAATACAAACCTTAAGTAAATTAGTCACAATATAAGGGAGGGATAAACAGGAGACATGGAAATACAGTTAACCCGTATCTTCTTGGCTTCAGTTACAAAAAATAAACATGCATAGATATTTTAAAACGATGACGTCATATAAATGTTAATTTGCCCGAATTTGAGGGGCGAGGTTATTGAGTACTTACCTCCCATTGGATCAAACTGATTTTGCAATTGAACAATTTCATGTTGTATCTCCACTTTAGGGGGTCCTGTGTATTCGTGAGAACGTTCCGGTTCGATATACAATATCACCGGGTCATAGTTCGATGAGAGACAATGTTCGATCGGCTTGTTGCTTCGAATTATAAAAAGTGTCTTTAAGTCGGCCACGTCGTTCGGCGTCTCCTCAGAAACCTTAATCGACACGAACTGCGTCCGTATCAAGAAGCAAACCCGGAACTTTCCACCAGGGTTATTTGGGCTCAGTCGCAGACGTATCGCCCCGTAAGGATGAAGCCAGCGAATTGTACCTTCCATACATTGTGGTCGGACATGAATAACACCCTTCTCCATGTTGCTTTCGCTAGAAAAAAAAGTAAAGGATAAAAAGAATGATTACTTTTAAAAGAATGACAAGACAGTGGAATAAAATAAGTTAAAAATAATGATTCAGCAGAAACAGAGTAATTGTAGTAATAATTGAAAAAAAAAAAGAAGATATCAGCTTTCGTTGATTGAAACGCGAGAACGGTTTTTTCCAAATTCACTGTCTTGATATACTAAATTGGGAGGAGCAGGTTGAACAGCTGAGGACACCTGTTACTGCGTCTCCACTAAAACCAGATCAAAAATTGGGACACAAGGACGACTACTATCCAAACAGTTTCTTAAAATTGATCCAAAGAAGTGATATCTAAAACGAGGCTCTCCTTATGAGGTCGACGAACATCTTATGAGCAACAAATCGGTAAAGTCCGTAAGCATTCGCCATAAAAATAACAATGAGAAAGAAAATTATGACAGTAATTATTATTTTTTAAAAAAGACAATACTTCATCAGACTCTATATGTTGGCGCAAGAGAATCGCAAAGTTTTACCAAATAACAAAAAGTAACATCAACTGAAGACTTTCAACAATAACAAGAACAAAAATCAGTTGCACATGCAACTAGAAAAGAAAATAATATAATCAAGCACTTCTACACTACCAAGAACAAAAAGATTGGAAGGAAACTTCCAGCAGTACCAGAAAGAGCTTTAACAGTGAACTTGAGAAATCTAATTTCTTGGAAAACTGTTTTAAGAAAAATATTTTATAAATTTCAACCAATAGTAATACTAACTGTTTGGTCAAAGAATGTCGAATGATTCTTGTATGAAAACAGTTATTCTCACTATTATCATTGTAATTAATTAGTAGTAGTTGTGAAAATTTCAAATTTGTTTTAATTTGCTTTTCTTTCTTTCTTTCTTTTATTGGAATCAAACAGCGTTTCTGGTATGTCTTTTCCGTCTTTCCTCGCCATTAAAACGTAACAGTCCATTATTTATAACGCATTGGCAGAGCATCACTTTCTTTCTTTCACTGAAACCAAACAGCGCCTCTGATACATGTTTTCCGTCTTTTGACGCGCTTAAAACGGAACAGTCCATTATTAAGAGGTATTGACAAGGCATTTCTCTATTTCTCTTTCTTTCTTTCACGGAAACCAAACTGTCTCTGATGTCTTTTCTGCCTTTCGACGCGATCAAATCTGAACAGTTCATTATTTATGAGGTATTGGTATTTCATTCTTACTTTTTTCTCACTGAAACAAAACAGCATATATGATATGTATTTTTCATCCTGTTTTAAATGTACTTTATTTTTATTTATAAATGTCAAGTTTGAAACTGTGCCCATGTCATTATCAGTTATGTGCCATGCGTGATACATGCTTAGGCGATCATGTATCTTTCGATAATCCCTGACTGACAGTAGGCTGCCATTTCTTTCTGCGGTAGATAGTTGCCATCCAAGGCTATAGAACCCGGTCTGTCCAGCCATTTACTCATAGCTGGGGGGGGGGAGAGAATTCATACCTTTCCCAAGGGTATGTGAATATAATGGATTTGACTTAATCCGAGCCGCTATCCATTACTCCACCGTACCTCATTGTTGAATACTAATTAATGAGCATCTACAAAATCAAATCCAAATTTCCCCCCCTATCTTTTACGAGGGGATCAGTTAACCTCAGTAGTACCCGAAGAAGATTACGGGGAAATTGAAGACATTACTCGGGAAACAACAGTGTTATTTAAATTTCTATACGCCCAATAAACTTGTATAACCGAAATGCATATAGAAACCTCTTCGTGAGAATATACAAGTGTTATTAAAGGAACATAGAAAAAGATCGTGAACGGAGAGGGAGAGAGAGAGAGAGAGAGAGAAAAAGAGAGAGAGACTAGCGAGGGGGGGGAACAGATGAGATTCGACGCCAGTCATCATCATCTCCCATCATTTGGGGTAGCGTGATCACATTGTAAGTCTCGTGACAAAGATCGGGCGTAAAGCGAGACGGCTAAAACCTTCCTACTTTCCTTAACATCCTGTTTTTTCTTTCTTTTGGAAGGCGCTTTTCACTCTTTCTGCTCCTGAATTCTTTCAAAATGGAGATAATTTTGCTCGGCTGATTTGACAGATGTTAGCATGACTTACTGTCCCAAATCAAGAAAAAGGAGAAAAGAAAATGGTCGTCTGTCTTTCTCAATAACATTCTCCCGCCAAAAAGATCTTCACCAAAAACAAAAACAAACACCAAAAAAAAAAAAAAAAAAAAACAGTCACGGGCTTGGCTATGATGGAAGAATATTCTAAAACTGCTGTAACTTAAGGAATGAAGATACTGGAGGTTGTAGGGTGATAATGGATAGCAAGAACCAAAGAACGGAAGAAAAAAAATCAACATTTTATCTATTAATTTTAAATTTCCTCCTAGCTCCCAGGAGGCACAGTTTAATGGCGGGGAAAGTAACTCAGGCGTACCGAGTTCAGTTACCGCTCAGGCCTGTTTTGTTCACGTTGGAAAAGGCATGAATCCTGCGTTGGGTTAAATAGCGGATTTTTAGACGCACAATCTCGAGCGACGAAAACCGAATATGGCAATCGCCAAAAATCCAGTTGCCATGAATAAATGCCAGAAAATAGATCGGCTCGTGATTAGCCTCAAAAGACGTGTTGTTTTTCAGATGTTGAATTCAAATGCTGTCAGATGGGAAAATGTGGCTAGCGATGGACAATACTTTCAGTGACACGTTTCTTACTAATTCTTGTAAATAAAACATCAATTTTCATGAAAAATCAGCGAGAACTTATTCAAGGTCCCAATATCTTAATATTTTAGTGTCGTTTTCGTTATAAATTTTAAAGTGTAGATCATAAACTTTAGCAGAATCGAGCAAGTAAGTTACATAAAAACGGCATTTACTAATATGAATAATGTAAGTGTCAATTCATGGCTCTATCCTTGTACTTAAGTGTTCCATATTTTCATCAACGACCTTTTCGATACCATCAATTCTCAACTCAAATGACACAACTATTTACTCCTGCTTTTATAATAAGTCTGATCGGTTCGATAAGGTTAAATTAGCATATGATCATAAAAATGAACCCACAGTCTGTTGTTAACTGTAGCAAGGAATTGCATATTAATTTTAACACCTCCAAAACGAAACTGCTCTCTTTTAATCGTTTGAAAGATCACTTTTGGCATTCTATCGGCTGATGATAACGTCCAGTAGAGTGACTCATTGTTCCTTCTCGGGTTAACGTTTGAATCAAGTAGGAAATCAAGCTCACCATGTCGTGCTAGACAATTTTTCTCGCGCGAATTTATCTTATAAATAAGTCTACCATTCGCTCTTGCTTTGAATATTGCTGACACATCTAGTCTGGTGCCCCTATTCTATATTTAGAGATCCTTGATAAAATTCAAAGAAGAATCTGCAATGTTATTGGTCCTGATCTGGCATCACGGCTTCAATCACTTTCCCACCATCGTAACGTAGTTGGATCTTTTCTCTAAATACTTTAATGGTAATTGTTTTGAACTTTTCTCTCTATGCAACATAAACTTTATGAATTTAATACAGCACTAGATTGGCGGCATTGTCTCATCATTTTACAGTTGAAATGGTTACATGTAACCACCAGTTCTACGCAAATGGTCTTTTCTAGCGCACTTTTCGATTGTGAAGTTCACTTCCGGCTTCTTGTATCAGAGTCTATAAAAATTTAAATGCAAAAAAAAAATAAAGAAGAAAAAAAAATTAGGAGAGTTGTGACAGACATTAGATGTAACCGGAAACCCAAACCTAAAGAGGAAACAACGGATAAACCCTGTTCCTGTTCAAAAATCAGGAAGGGGTATGAGTGTTATTAAAATTATTATTATTATAGAATATTAATATTAATGTTAAAATAATTAATTAACGAACACATCTAGCGATTGACTTATAAAAAAAAAATTGCATTATCAAAAAATTTCATGTCTTATATCAATGCTATCTCTATTACGATGCAGAGATTACGTCACGTTTTACCGAAATATTTTGAACTATTTGATAATGACTAAGAATTGGTATCTAGCCACCTCCCACGAGGGTTGCATGTGGCACAAGGCCGAGTTTTTACGTGGGTTTCTCGAGCCCGTAGGCTCGGCCAAAAAATGCCCGTAGAACCCGTATAAACGGGATCGGGTTGGTCAACCTCCCCGAAAGAGACACTGCCCTTCGGTGGAGCCTCGTCCGGGTTCCTCTCTGTTCAGAGGCAGAGAGTTCGACCGTCAAGCCGAGAAGCTCGGCTCGATAATGACTAAGAATAATAACAGAGAAACAGACAAGTATTTCTATATATAGCAAATAACATATACAATATTTGCATTATTTCCTGATTATTGACCCACCATTTCTGTCTGATTTTCAGCGGCCAACATACAGGTTCAGTACTAAAACCGGAAAGGAGCTAGCATACCATATAGTGATTTTCTAAGCGTAGCCTCGAGGTGCCCTATTGATTCTCCAATGTAGCTTAGATGTGACACAGGGCCAAAAGTATGGAGCACCTAGTGAGGATAGAACTCACTACTCAGTTGTAATTGTTCTATCGGGACAAGCTTGCTAACCATTACACCGCATCGAGGTGCCCAAAGCATACCATACTGTATATGGAAACTCCTGTAACTAGACAAATGAGCGCCGTTTGCTTCGGGATTGGATTAAACAAATATATCCAAATCCCATCTCTCCTGGGTGTGTGGCAGTGGTGTTCCGTTGAAAGAGCGTGTCTCCGAAGGGGTGGAACAATGAGCCAATGGGGAAAACTAGCCTCCATCACTCATACTGCTCTGTCACTGACGATATTTTGTCGGGAAATAATTAAAAAAAAAAATGTGGTAAGAATAAACATAGGAATGAATGACCCGACAAAGAATGCGTTCTCGTCTTCGAGTTGATTCTATGCTCCGTCACTCAGAGTGCCACTATTTGTCAAAATATTGATGCTTCCTCGTGGAAATATTTAACGTCTTCTAAGA